CAGATTTATTGAAGTATTATTAACACACAATAAAATTCACTATTTTTTTTTAACTTTTTTTTTTAAGAGATGGGGTCTCGCTCTGTCACTCAGACTGGAGTGCAGTGGCACTAGCGTAGCTCACTGCAGCCTGTAACTCCTAGGCTCAAGGGATCCTCCTGCCTCGGCCTCCCAAATAGCTGGGACTACAGGTATGTGCCAGCAACTCCCGGCTGGTTTTTTTCCTATTTTTATTTTTTAGAGACAAGGTTTCACTATGTTGCCCAGGTCTGGCCTCAAGCCATCCTCTCACCTCAGCCTCATAAGTAGCTGGGATTATAGGTGCAAGCCACCACGTGGGCCAAATTCATCATTTTTAATGTACAGATCTAGTAGCTTTGACAAATACATAGTTATGCAATCAAAATACAGAATATTTCCATAGCTCCCAAAATTTTCCTTGTGCGCCTGTGCAGTCAACACCTTCCCCAACCCCTAGTCCCTAGCAATTACTGGTCTGTTTTCTGTCCCTATAGATTTGCCTTTTCGAGAATGTCATACAAACAGAATCATATACTGTGTAGGCTTTTATGTCTGGCTTCTTTCACACAGCATAATGAATGTGTGATTCACCCATGTCGTTACACGTATCAGTAGTTTCTTTATTGCTGAGTAGTATTTCACTGTATGAGTACACCACAGTTTAGTCAATCACCAGTGGAAGAACAGACTACAGTTTTTGCAATGATGAATAATATTCTTTTTGCATACAAATTTTTATGTCAAAATAAGTGTTCAATTCTCTTGGGTAAACACCAGGGAATAATATTTCTCTGAGTCAGATGGTGAGTATATGTTTAACTTTCAAAAACTACTAGTTTCCCAAAGTGACTATACCATTCTGGATTCCCACTAGAAATGCATAAAGGTTCCATTTGTTCCAAATCCTCACTAGCTTTTGTTATTGTAATTCTTGTGTTTTGTGGGGGCTTTTTTGTTTTTGAAGCTATTCAGGGTATAGTGGAATGTCACTATGGTTTTATTCTGAATTTCTCTAACGACTAAAGATGCTCCGCATCTCTCTTCATATGCATATTTGCCATCCACATTTTTTTTTTTGGTGAAATGTCTTATCTGTTTTTTTCACTGGGTGAGTTGTTTATTAAGTTTTAACAATTCTTTATATATTCTGGATACAACCTTTATCAGGGTTGTAGTATACAAAAATTCTCTCTCAGTCTGTGGCTTGGCTTTTCATTTTCTTAACAGTGTCTTACAGAGACAAGAATTTAAATTTTGAGGAAGTCCAATTTATCAATTTTTTTCTTTCATGGCTGGTGTTTCTTGTGTCATACATAAAAAAAACTTTGTCCAACACAAGAACACAAACACTTTTCTCCTGTATTTTCTTTCACAAGTCTTATAATTCTAGGTTTTATATTTTGAATTATTTTTTATATCTGAGGTATAAGTCAAGGATCTTTTTTTTTTTGGAGACAATCTTAATCTGTCGACCCCCTGGGTAGAGTGCAGTGGCATCATCATAGCTCACTGCGACCTCAAACTCCTGGGCTCAAGCAATCCTCCAGCCTCAGCCTCCTGAGTAGCTGGGACTACAGGCACATGACACAAATGGCCAGCTAATTTTTCTATTTTCAGTAGAGACTGGGGTCTCGCTATGTTGCTCAGGCTGGTCTCTTAACTCCTGAGCTCAATCTTTCCACCTCAGCCTCCCAGAGTGCTAGGATTACAGGCACGAGCCACTGCACCCGGCCTAAGGATCTGTTTTTGGGTGTAAAACTGTATCAGCACCATTTATTGAAGACTATCCTTTCTCTACAAAATTGCCTTTGCACATTTGTCAAAAGCTAAAGGAATGTATGGTTTATAGAATGTATTACTTAGCATATCTTATTCTAAACAAGTTTGATTCACACAAAAATTATTAATGAAGTATGCACTGGATAATTCTAGACTGTTTCCATAACTATCTAGCTGTATCACGTTGGGCAAGTTATTTAATCTGGGCCAAATTTCATCATCGATGAAATAAATGATATAATTTGATATGACTTCTAGGTTCCCTTTCAGTGTTAAGATTCTAAGAATCTAAGAGAATTTATTTTTAATAATAAATCTCATAATATTCTCAGTCAAACAAGTAACTAAATCCTTCTTAATAAAGAAATAAAGGTGAGGAGACCTTTAAGACCCATTCTCCCTTGTTGAATCTTAGGAAGATTTTAAAAAGTTACCTTTGTTTCTGGAAGACATCTTCTTTCCTGCTGATTTCACTGTTTCTTTGTTCCTTTTTTTCCTAGGTGTTCTGGTTTGTCCTTGACCAGATGCAGAATCAGAGTCAGAAGAGTCAAGTTTGACTTGACGATGCCGTCTTGATTTGGATGCCTTAAGAGTTAGAAATCCAATTAACCACAATAAACTACAAAATGAACTGATAACTTAGAGAAAACAGACAAAAATGAGGAAAAATTTGAAGTATCTGTCTTTAGGTATTATATACTGGCTGGCTTACTATAATTACTTATACCATGTAAATAGCTTTTTATCTTTATAACATGAAAAGCTTCCTGCAGCCATCATCACCATCTACGCATGTTAGGTTAAAATAAAGTTGTTCTGTTACCTGGCGTGGCTGGGAAATGGTGGTATAGAGACAAATACTGTTTTAATCCTATTCCTCCTTTCTAATAAGGACTCTTTCCTTCAGGCACCACCATGTGTTTTGAGTGCAACTACTTCATGCCTGGCTCCAAGTATGGCCATGCAGCCAGATCTGGCCAAAATGAGTTTCATATCCCCACAGCTACCATGATTTGTTCAGAGTGGGTATGTGATCTGTACCATGGCTAATGGAATGCTATTTTACAACTATTTAACTATCAGGAAGGAAAACCTTCGCATCTTCTTTCTTGCCATTGAACCTAAAGCTGGGAACGAGGCTGGAGCCGTCATGAACAGCATGCGACGACAGTAAAAGCAGCACAGAAGGTAAGAAGTGGAGAGCTAGTCCTAATGACATCTGTGCTTGTGGGCAGTTAGCTGAGGACTTTTTTGTTACATCAGTCAACGAATTCCCTTATTTGCTTAAGCAAAGAGTTTTAAGTTAATGTTATATATGCAGTATAGGTATTAACGATTCTTAAAAAGCAACCATGTGTAGTCATTCCTCAGTATCCATGGGGGAATGGTTCCAGTACCTCCCACAGATACCAAAATCCACAGATGCTCAAGTCCCTGATATAAAATGATGTTTTATTTACCTATAACCTATACATTTCCTCACATATACTTTAAATCATCTCTAGATTACTTATAATACCTCACACAATGTAGAAACTATGTAAATAGTTATCTCATATTGTTTAGGGAATATGACAAGAAAAAAATGTCTGTACATGTTCAGTACAGATGTAATTTTTTTTCCAAATATTTTCAATCCACAGGTGGTTGAATGTATGGTTGCAGAAACTACAAACACGGGGGGCCAACTTTACTGTCTGTCAGCTGTACCTCAATAAAGGGTAAAAACCACAACTAAGCAATGACATACATATAACAATTTATAGGGAACATAATTCAATTGTTTAATGACTTAAGAAATTAATAATGTCTTAAGAAATACATTATACATCAATTAGTATCATATTATATAAATATAAAAAGAGTT